AACTACTACTCTTTTATATTGGCCACAAATGTGTTATTTCATGCCCAAATGGTATTATTTGCATACTTTCTGACTGTTTCTCTCCAGTTTTCTCTGCCTTTCGAATGGGATGACTGTGTTCTGGATCTGAATACAGGACTTCTCCACAATTCTTTTCCTTACTTAAGGAGTTATTTTGAGAGTGTTACTGCAGCTGTTCATAGATTATCCCTTGTACCTCCTGCACACACACTTCCATGTGAGAGCTGAGAATCTGTATCAGCTTTAAGTTTTTAGTTCAATCCTATTTGTCTTTATATAGAATTATATACAATGGAGTTTACTGCCTAATAAATTTTCATTTCACAAGCAGGGAAAATTAAACTTGGACATGTGCCCACATAGAATCCAGAAACCATCTGTAACATCACTTGAATTTGAATTGTTCCAAGAATGATTTTCAGACATTCACCATTTTAAAGGGAATTATCCTTTTTGTGTGTACAAAATTTTTGTTGTTTGTATTCCATTCCATTTATTTCCCTTCTCAATTGATGAATTGTTGCATTTAGTTCCCATTGGGCTAACTTAGCTTGTTCTCAGGCAGTCTACCATGTGCAGGGCAACTTCATATATCCTGCAATACGATGTGAGAGCTTGTGCACAATATAACAGCTAGTTTCTAAAGTGATGCAACATGTATTAGCCATAATCCGAGAGCACATAAAATCAGTATAAAACTCATGAACACTGTTTTTCTATGAGTTTTAGAAACTAGTCTGGCTGCACCTGATGTAGAAGCAGGTGTACAAAGCTTTTCCCAGGATGGGTCTAAAGTTTGGCAGAAATGGACTGAAATGGACTTTGTTTTGAAATCCAGGTTTTGTTTTGTTTTGTTTTTTTGGATACTGGTGGGTTTTCTTCAGGCATCATGGTGGGAGGAAAATGCCTGCTCAGTGTGTAGAAATGGATCTTCTGATTGCAGCCTAAATTGTTTATACCTGACCAGCCATCTAATTAGGCCAACAGCAGGACAGTGTTTCAAGTTACCATTGTATTTCATGATAATTAGATCAGGCTTTCATTTTATGTTTCCTAAGGAAAAATAGACTATCATTTAGCCAGGTGGCTGCTCTAGTGATATGATTATAGTTATGGAATTTGGCCATCTGAGCAAAAATGGTTGTGGCAGATCTCTCAAAAATCCCTGAACTTTAAATGTTGAAGATTAAAACCAGCTTTATTTCAAACATATTCTTGTGCAGTTTGCTAGGGCAGTTTGTCAATAGGCAGTGCATTTCAAATGCTTTAGTTTTTTGGTGCTGCAGTATGCATATGGGGAATTGCTTTAAAGAAGATTTGTATTAGACTATTAATTGGCCTAAACCTGCTGAAGACAGATCATGTATTGAAAATAGCATGTATGAAATACTTCAAATGAAGAATTGATACAGACGAATAGTATTAATCATCAGGAACTGATGTTAAAGGTGAACAAGTAGATAAACTTATCAAGTCCAGTTCAGGTATCTCAATTGGTTAATAAAGTATTATGCCCCTGAATATACTTCCAATGGGAAAAGAAATGATATAAAGTCAGATTTGATATTAGCAGTATGTTGAAGTTTTTAATCGGACCATAATGCTTAAATCTTAGCAGAATAAACAAGTGTATCTTCAGCATCTCTTCTAAATGCATAGAATTGAGTACTTTCTAAAATGACAAAGGTTCTTTTCAAACAATGGCTATTTTTAGCCCCCTTTAAATTAATAGTGATTTCTTTTTCCGATTGTGGATTCTTGTTTAGCCAAAGCAGTATCATCTATGCACAAGAAGCAGGATTCTGGGAACTCAGAATTGTAGATGTATTAGGAAAAGAAAATCTTGAGGGGAAAAGATGTGGGCACTAACAGCTCAGGCAGGGACTGTGCATGCATGGTGGGCACAAATACTGATGAGAATGGAATATACTGGAAGACAGTATGGCAGGCTAGAACCTTGAACAAGAGTCCATTGGAAAAGAAAAGGAAGAGAGGAGATGGTATGTAGTAGAGGTCTGGAAGTGGCTGGTGAAGAGATGGGTGTGGGTGCAGCGGTCCTCTAGGCTAAAAAATTAAGTTGATTAGATGAAAGAAGGCGATGAGAGAGAAGACAAGGGGAGTTAGGAAGGTGCAAGGTTGACATTTTTTGTTCCTTTTCTATGACTGAGGGGGCGGGGGAAGACAGCACCATATCCTTGGATAGATTATTACCTGGTTTGTGCTGATAAGCTCAGGACTGGATTGTCTGTAGAGCGGCCTGTGAAAATCAGTGAAGGAATCCAAGTTGTTTTATGTACCTGTGATTGGTGGTCACTGTAACATAATTAAACACAAACTGATTGCCAAAGTGGCTGTTCTTTATTGTTGCCCTATTACTGGTTGGAAGGAACTCTTCTGGGGATTGTGTGGCATATGGCACTTGAGGTTAATACTGCATTTATCTTAAGTTGCCAGCATCTGTGAAAATGTATCTCAAAATGAATTTTTTAGTCTTGGTTTTGGTTTTGACTGTATGCATGCCGAATTCTGCTTGGGGTGAAGGGTAGAGTTCCGACAACCATACTATTGTCTAGACAATTGTCTAGATAAACAGGTTGGGCTGGAGCTAGGAGTAAATTGGAGTTGGACTAAGTAACTGTGCAATAAAACCTAGCAGTGTACTTCATTCTGATATGCACATGTTGCATACTGAAAAGTACTGAAAATAGCTTATGGCAGAAGTGTGGCTGATGCTTGCTTAGATTCCTAGTAAAATCCTTCCTGTGTATCAGTTCACAGTAGAGTTCAGTCCCCTAGCTTCCTCTTAACATTCACCTGAGCCAAAACCAGTATTCGGCTATATGTTGAAGCTTACAGGCGGATTAGCCAAATGTTTAAATTTGCAAATGGTTTTAAAAGTTAAAATTTGCATATAAAGTAAGGTCCCAGTTAGAGAGGGTACTTCCATTTGGAATGATCACTTTCACTTTTCCAGCCACTGGATCAGGTTATACATGCTCACTAGGGACACATTGCAGTGTTGTTCAGCATACACTTTTTATTCAAATGTGATCACAAGTTGCCTGGAGCTATTGATGCAAGTTATTGCTACTCATGCACAGTTTGAGAGTTAAGAGCTCATACTTGTGATTCCAGTTACTCTGTTCTCAACTTGAGGTTATTTTATACTAGCTTGCAGGCCTGTGCACTTTACCTATTTGACCAAAAGTCCCCTGCCCCAGTTGCTGTACTAAATAAATGTAAATTTCCAAACCTTTCCAGTTTAGCATATTCAGAATTCTATTTGCAGCTTCAGTGGGAAAGGGATGCTACTGATGAGTTGTGGGTCTCAAAATGGAATGGTGCTGAGTTGATGCTTGGAAGCACTAATAGACTTTGTTGTTGTTAGTCTCAAAGTCGTGTCCAACCCATCAGGACCCCATGGACAACATTCCTCCAGGCCTTCGTGTCCTCCACCATCCCCCGGAGTCCACTTAAGCTCATGCCGTCTCCTTCAGTGACTCCATCTAGCCACCTCATTCTCTGCCGTCCCCTTCTTTTGCCCTCAATTGTTCCCAGCATTAGGCTCTACTCCAGGGAGTCCTTCCTTCTCATTAGGTGGTCAAAGTATTTGAGTTTCATCTTCAGGATCTGGCCTTCTAAAGAGCATTCAGGGTTGATCTCCTCTAAGATTGACCGGTTTGATCGCCTTGCGGTCCAAGGGACTCGCAGGAGTCTTCTCCAGCACCGCAATTCAAAGGCCTCAGCTCTTTGGCACTCAGCCTTCCTTATGGTCCAGCTTTCACAGCCATACATTGCAACTGGGAAAACCATAGCCTTGACTATACGCACTTTTGTTGGCAGGGTGATGTCTCTGCTTTTTAGTATGCTATCTAGATTTGCCATAGCTTTCCTCCCAAGGAGCAAGCATCTTTTAATTTCTTGGCTGCAGTCCCCATCTGTGGTGAACTTGGAGCCCAGGAAAATAAAATCTGTCACTACCTCCATTTCTTCCCTATCTATTTGCCAGCAAGTGAGAGGAGCGGATGCCATGATCTTAGTTTTCTTAATGTTGAGTTTCAAGCCAACTTTTGCGCTCTCCTCCTCCACCCGCATCAAGAGGCTCACCAATAAACAAATTCCTGCCAGTGCAGTTTCTTTTGGTGGGTTTGTCTGTCCAGGGAGACGCACTACTTGTAAAAGCATCAAGTTTGTAATCTTGGTGCTGACAGGTTCAGCAACTTGGCTCTTTTATCCTGAATCAGTCATGCAACATCAGTAACATCAGCAATCAATGAAACACAAACTCATCCCAGGGGAGGCAGTTCTAAAGATTTGAGGCCATCATTTAAAAGGTCTTGTCCCTTTAACCTGCCAATCAAATGGTGGACTAGACTACAGTGCTTCCGGGTCATTAGCAGAGCCCATGAAGCTACATATACATGCAGTAAACTGGTCCTAAGAGGTTTAGGAAACTAAAGAACAAAGGCAGTGCTTCAAACGGAGTTCATGGTGTTAGGAAGACAGTGCAACTGGCACAGAAATAGTGACACAGTACCTAAGAAACTTGTTTAGTCAGTTGAACTCTGTACCACCTGAAATTCCTGAACTGTCTTTAAAGTCAGCTTTACTTAGCATTACAGTAATCTAGCCTGGATGTAATCAGACCATGTGTCATTGAAGCTGGGTCTACTTACTTCAGATAGGGTCACAACTGACAAACCAGTCAAAGCTGGAAAAACCCAAAAGCCACTTTGCACCTCCATAAATAGCTCCAAAGCCAGATAAGACATCAGCATATTGATAATCTCAGCAGGGAAAACCCTCAACCTTTTCTTCTACCTTTAGGGAAGAAGGTGCAGATTGTCTTCACCTAATCCTTGGAAATGCTGGTATTTAAGTTTGGTATTGAGAAAGTTCAGAGTTTAAAAGCCTTGTCTTTTAGTTTAGTGAAGTGCAACATAAATGCATTTACTGTCTTTCATTTTATCAACTTCTAGGTCTACAGACAGGATTGTGAAACCTTTGGTGCTGTAGTGAAGATGCTGATTGAAAAAGACCCTTCATTAGAAAAACCAATTCAGTTTTCCTTGAGACAAAACTTGCATGAGATTGGTGAGAGATGTGTTGAAGAACTTAAGCATTTCATTGCGGAATATGATAGTGCAAGTCAAGAATTTGAAGAAACCTAAGATCAGGACTGGATTGTTCATATGTAAATACCACGTTTCAAAGTGATGAATTCTTCAGCATCTGTACATCCTACAACAGATTTTTTTCTCTTCAGAAAACCTAATACAAATTTTATAGTAAGGCTGTTCCTTGGCAAGGTCATTATTTCACTTTTCACTTAGTAGTAGTCAACTTCTCAAAGAACGCAAAGTGTGTTTGAGGCACTTTTTTTGAATCTCAGTGTAGATTTGTACATTCCATTGACCTTAGGTTGGAAAATGTCATGTTAAATATAGTTCAGTAGGTATGCTGTTGTGTATTTTTGAAAATATGTCACAAAATGCCATAATTATTGAAACAGGCTTCTCTGAATACAAGTGACAGTCTTCAGATTTTATTAATACTGACTACAGGTATGTACAGTAGTAATTACAACTGTATTTATGTGTATTTACATATGTGCTGTCTTTAGGTAGGGTAGCCATTTGCAAATCCATTGTAATATTGAGTAAACAGTTGTTTGAAAACTGACACTAAGCTAGTTGTTTTAGTTTAGTGTTTTGTTTTTGATAAAATGGCCTTTAATTAAAATACTTTTAGCACAGTTTGAGATTTTGCATTTTCTTAATACAGCTTGTACAGTGAATCTTGAATATGTACTTAAACCTAGACACAAAACAATGGAAGAAAATGTTCACCATTCCTCTTCTGGAGTATCCACATTAAAAATGTTCTTTTAATATAAATGGATTCATTTAATATGGTGCACCTATTTTCTAATCAATGCTAGACTTACACAACTTTATCTTCTACAAATGGCACACTGGTTCAAATAGTTTTGGTATTTTCTATGATTAGTTGTGCCCCATATACCACATGTTGATCTCCTTTCATACATGAAATGGTGGTGGGGTAACAAACTTTTACAGGAGCAAGACTTTACTGTAATTCAATGGTTTAGCTTGGTCCATGTATTACTTAATGGTAGCATCTGCCATTAAGTAGATAAGAGAGGTACCTAACCTACCATAAAAGGATTTTTCCCAGAATTAAAACAGAAAACTGTCTCTATTCTATAGTCATCTTCCAATTTTCTCACAATATTCATCGCAATATGAGATGTAGTATTGGCCCTAGGAAAACTTTGCTTTGTGAATCATGGATGTTCAAGCAAATCACATTTGTTGATGACACCAAAATATTTCTAGGACACTTAGTCCTGAAAGCCATGTCTCCAAACTGGGTAAGCAGACAAAATGACAGTGATTTCAATAGGAGTGGGTGGAAATTATTGTAATACTGCAGGTACTAATGTAAGCATGGCTGGTACTTCTGTTTGAGGCAGACTGGTGTAACAGAAATCAACTTATTAATGTGCTTTGTGCTTTTCGCATAACCCAAAGCACAGGCTGTTGCTGAACAGTGGGATGTTTTTAAATTGTGGGTTTACATGAAAACTCTGCACTCACAAACAGGCCAGAGTATACAAACTAACAAGAAATGGTGCTCTGTGGATTGTTCATGGTTAACCCATAGTGCAGAGTTCACACCTAACATCAACAGCTATTCAGCAACCCACCTGCTGGCATTGTTATGTGCAAAGCAGGTCATTGTGACACCTATTAAAGACAAAGTACATCCTAAGGTATGGACTGAAAACACTTGATGTGTTTTTATTGAAATTATGTTGCAGTTGCAAATGATACCATACAGAGAGAAAGGTATCCTTTTGCAATGATTCTATTACTCCATGTCTATTTTGAGCGACACAAGAAACATGTTTCTGTATGCCTGGATGCAGAAATAGAGCTATGAAAGCCTGAACCCCCTTCCCCCAGCAAAAAACCTGAAAACTCCTGTTGATTTCCCTTTTTCCCACAAGGGCTATTTTTGAATATTTAAGATACAGTGTTTATATATTGTTACCCAGCTTTTGCTCACCACAGATGATTGCTAAAAAGAAGAAAATTTCTATAGAAAGACCAGCTAGAGATACAGAACTTCTGAAAATACAGAAGCATGGTGGGGGCATGTTTTTAAATCTTCTGCAGGATTCCCTGTATAGTTATTTCTTCTATTCCTTATTAATCTTCTACTACATTTTTAAATTTTTAGATATTTAGGAATGCTTTAAGACATGCTCAGGTCCCCATTATGTTAACAGAATAACCAGAACTTATGGAAGAAAATGTCCATTAGACCTCCACCACTATAGGAAAAGCTGCCGTAATTATAAAACTTTTAAGCTCTTACTTAACCACTGCTAGGGACAACCTTTCAATGAACAAAAAATAAGATGCTTGGTGCTAGTTTTTTTCCCAACACTGAATAAAGTGACACTATTCATACAACAGGTTTAGATTTCTTAGAGATTCTTCAATTAAATATGGGTGCTTACCATTCCTAAATAGAATCTTTTCCAACCAAATAAAACCTCAGAAGGGTTTCTTCCCCAGTCCATCTTTGGTGCACCCTTTTTTGCTGCTCCCTTCCCTTTAGTGCTTTTACTTGCTTGGCAACTGTGTGCAGATTAGCCTATATGAAATTTTGCATCGTCAGTTTTCATGTTATGTTACCTACTCAGCTTTGTCTTCTCCTTTGACAATTGAACAACACAGAGAAATTAAGTGGTGAACAAAAAAGGGTAGCAATTAAAGCAGAGAGGGAGAAACAAGACAAGTTCTGCCATGGAAGACACTGAGACACCAGCTGTGGGGAGAGTAGGAACAAGAAAAACAAGCCATGGTAAGCCCAATCATTTGTGGACAATGGACACTGTGAGTCAGGTTTACAGAACATCCTGAACACCCTAAACCATGGTGGCTTATAACCTGGGGTAATAAACTTGTTGTATGATCCCAACAGCATGGTTTGTTAACAATTCTGGCTGGGTTCAGACAGCACAAGAAGCCAGCCCTTGTTTATAAGCCACCATGTCCAGTAAACCCAGTCTGTGTAGCTTATTCGCAGGGTGGCTGTATGTGTACTCTGAACCACGTTTATGATGTCTGTTCCTGTGTACTTCCTCTCTGGTACTATCGAGATGTTTTAGACTACAGTATCAATCCTGACTGAAAATTGGTCATGTTGCCTGCAGGCAATGGAAGGTGAAATCCAGCACATCTAGAAAGGATCAGCTGGGGGAAGGTTATGCTAAAGCAACAAAATGATTTTAGAACTATAAAGCATACTAAAAGAGTAAGCATTGTTTGTTTTTCAGTTTTCCTCAAACACGTTTTTTCACCATTCCTTCATATTTTGTGAAAATTTTGTATTACATTCTGTAAAATAGTTCCATGCCTTGGTAGGAAAGTTTTTTAAAAAAAAATGGTTCAATAGCTATGGGATTCTTTCATAAGTCACAAATGATTATGTGAAGTGTAATTATTTCTGGGGAGAACTATAGACACCACCCATTAATATTAATTTCAAAACCTAGAATGAGATTTAATGTTTGATCATTGGGTATCTTTAATATACTATGTGTTTTGTAGGATTTGCATATTCCAGTTGTGGTGTGCACTTTACTTAGACAGTTTCATTTCCTTGACCCATAAATAATTCCTTTAATGTTAGGAACCATAGGTTAAACAGTATTTACACAGCTCTACCATGCAATCAGAGCTTTACTGTCAAAAATTAAACATTTCACTGCTATAAGCTGATGAACATTTAACAAACCCCCTGCCTGAATCAATCTGATGTTATCCTCTCAAATAAAACTAGGCTTGCCTTTTAAACAAATGTCTTGCAATTCAGGGATATAAAAATAGTCTGTTAAATCTTAATTTTACAATATGTACATTATTTGCACTGTTAAGTTATGAACACAGTTTCAGCTATGAAATACTACATTATAAATATTGCTTCTAACTGCTGCTCATATACTACATTTGAAACGTAGGATAATGTTTCAAATATGCAGGATTCTTGCTTGTTTCCCCAAGTTTTTAATACAAGCGGACTGAGACAACGCAATGAAGTTCATGGGTAGAGGCTGTAGCTTACACCACATAAAATGGTTCCTTAGGGATAATGAAAATTTCTTGTTAAATTGACTTTTGGCTGAGTGGGAATCACTCAGACAAACTTCAAAAGGAACAGTCAACTTGATTACTTCGATTATTCTGCATACAAGCAAAGATTTCTTGCTTGGCATGGAAAGGCTTGGGCTACATCAGTCCCGGTCTGTCAACATGCCAGATGTTTGCACTACAACTCCTAACAAACTCAGCCAATTATCAGATGCTGGGAGTTACAGACTAAACATCTGGAGTGAAGGATGTTGGCGTAGTCTACTCTACAATATAGGTGTAGGATAAATAATATATAATTGTGGTATTTGCCAGGATTGCACAATGCAATCGTGGCAATTGTAGTGCAGGAGTGCCCTCCAGATAGTTTAGTCTACAGCCCACAGAAATCCTTACCATTGGTCCTCCTGGCTGGGGCTCATGAGTGTCATAATCCAGCAATACCCGGAGAAAGCCAGGTTGCCACCTCTAGTTTAGTACTACATGCACAAGCAGTAGGAAACTATCCCAAACTTTGAGTGAATTTCATTTCCTTCACATGGTTGGGAAAAAGACTCTGTTTCACTTTCCCAGAATTTTGGCTTGTGTGTGAACAAGAGACAGTGCTTTAACTGACCAAGGTTGCTCATAGAAGGTCAACTTCCTAACCTATCATTGTGCATGAATCAGGAATCATGGTGTAGAAAGTTGGCTAAGATATTACCCCTGATATGTCTATAATGAGTAGAGATTCAGAGAAAGTGAAAGGAAAAGATGCTGAAAAATTTCTCCCAACTTCATAGGAGACAGGGAGGAGAAAGTACACAAATCTGAGGTTTTGCTTGGGCTTGTTGCAGCTTAAGAAGCACTAAAGCATTTTTAGTGCTACATGTAAACACAGATGGTGCATAAATCAATTGGTATAATTTGAACTAGGTGACTGAAGTAGCAGGAAAAATATAATAAGCCATAAGATGCTGACACTGGGCAAATGCTGACACCCAAAAATACTCCACTGAGCCTTATTTAAACCAGAGCATGCTAGGCACTATTTCCAGAATTGCTACCCAGGTATAGATTCTTGTGTCATCTGCAACCTGGCAGTGGGCCTTGTTGGGAGGCAGAAAAACCTTCTAATAACCCACTACCTATAGGAGGATTGGGTCCTTTTACAGCAGACCAAGCCATTCAGGTTTGGATGGCACAAGTTACATCTGGGCAGTCATTATGGAAAGTCATTGTACCTGGTATGCACTGTCTTGTGTGGTCACGCTAACCAGGCCATTTTCTGGCTTTTTGTACTGGGCACTGAAAATGAAAAATTGGCTAGAGCAAGGTAGGGAACTTGTGGACCGCCAGATGTTGGGATTGCAACTCCGATCAGCCCTAGGTGAAGAAGCATGGGAACTGTCCACCACTGGAATATGTTCAATCGCAGTCAGGACATTTTTAAAGCTATATCAATAGTATTTTCACTTTGCTTTTCTTGTACCCCGCCTAAAACGGTTGATTATTAACTGCAGGCCCCTGACAGGGGTCATGGACAAAGGCTGCCCATGTGGACTTTATTTAAACCATTTTCTACATAAGATTTGAAAAACAGTGTAGGCACAGAGTTCATAATTATCAGTAAAACTTAAGAAATTATACAATTTTTGCCTTTGTGTGATTTTCTCTTTTTAGATTTTGTTATCCTTTGTCCAAACTGGGAACTGGGCAGTTCAGCACTTGGACTAGAAAGGACATCTGTATAGTAGGGATATCTCACTGATCTGGGTTGTGGAATGGGCTGTCCTAAGAAGTATCCTTCCTCTTCAGAATCTGAGGAGGAGGAGGATGAACACCAAGAGTCTTCCTCCTCAAAGAATCTGAAAAATTGGTCTCTCTGGTTCTCCATTGCATAGTCGGAGGCAATGTGAGCATACTGGCTGTATGAGTTTGGAGTGTATGCCCGAATTGCATGAGGACTTTTACTTTGAATAAACTTGCCGTAATCCTGAGGAGAATAAAAATTAAGTCTTTCCTTTGGGGCAGGTTTCCTTTCTGCAACCAAGTTAAGCGCATTGTCAGATCGAGACTTTCGACTTCTCCTGCGGCGATGCTGGTGTCTCTTCCCGTGATCTTCGAACTGATAAACGCGTCTGCGAGTCCTTTCGCTCATGGGAGGCTGACGAATGTCAAGACTCTCATAATTGCCATTATCAATAACTTCATCTGAAAACTTAACTTGCTGAGGTCTTGTCTGTGATTTCGACCTTCTTAGCACCGGTATGTGTATGGGCTTTTCTTCAGGCAGTGTCTCCACTTGACATAATTCAGAGCTTAAACTTTTTAGAGACTCTGTGCTCCTATGTAACATTGAGGAATTCAGAGTTCCCATGTTGCTCATTTTCTCACAATCATCCACTTCCTGATAGGTTGGTAAAGAATACAACGGTGGCCTTGGTTTGACTTCTCCATCAACAGAAGCACCTGAGAGTAAAAATTGCAATGATGTATGTTTAGTAAATTGCTGTTCTCACTTCCCCCACTTCCCACTGCAAACTTGTTTATATTCTTCCTCTATGGTTAAGTTTGAAAAGCATAATCGGAGCTCATGTATCAGAAATTCAAGTTTTGGTTACAAAGAACAGTGAAGCAGATGATTGACCAAACTGACTTTGGGACTGCAGGAAGAGTGCCTAATGACTTTGCCTTTATATTCTTTTCTCAATTATTAACTTCCATAAGTAGGAATAAACGAGTGGCCTTCACTCACCCCTTCTCCAGTGTTTTAGCTGTATGCATAGACATTGCTTCCTTGCTTTGCAGCAAATGCCTTTAAACAGTATTGAATTGGCCAATAAGTGTAAGAGGAAGGGGAAAAAAGTCCCACTGCACCACTTAAATGGGTCCAGAGCACACAGGGAGCACAAAGCAAGCAAACCTTGCATAGACTCAGGCCTATACCTCCTGTAGAGTTCTGGTAAGGAGCAAACATGCTAGCATGAAAGAATCCTGTCTGCTAGACCATATAAATGCTTCATGAAGGAACCACACTGAATTCTTAGTCTTACCTGTGATATTAGATAAAGCAAGGGAATCCATTGAGTCCCGAACACACTGCTCTTGTTTCAGATTTGACAAACACTCCAGTGAGCCATCATACCATTTCTTTTGGTCAAGTTTGTATCTAGGTGTGCCATGCTCCATGTCCAGCTCTTGGATTTTCCTGCTGCTGGCAGGTCCCGGGTGGCTACCATAGGCAGAATCCCCTAGGCCATCTTGAGATTGCGCCCAATACATATCTGACTGGTATTTCTTACTTGCTAAACTTTGACTGTTTTTCTTCAACTCAGATCGATCTTTAACCATGCCCTCACAAATCCACTGCTCATTTGATCTAACATCTGCATCTGTCGGCTGCTGAAAGAGGCCTTTATCACCAAATTTTAGGAGCAGCTGAGTCATGTAGTCTTCATGTTCAGCCCACTCTTCTGGATCATCTGGCATTTCTTCTCCCCTTCCTTTCCAGAGGTCTTCATCAACAAAGCTTCCTCCTTGCCTTGAAAGGCTTAAGTCATCCAGTTTCCGCGAAAGTGTATCATCAGCAGTGCTTGAAAAGCCAGGGAATTTGTAGTTCAGTGCTGGGGACAGGAGGAGCGATTGCCTACACTGATCTGCTGACCGGCTGCTTTTCCCCATGCGGACACTCCTTCTGGAGTCTCTTGAGCGGGCAGACTGGAAAGCAGAGTCCGATGAGTCTGAGGCATGAACATCCTCTCCCAGGCTGCATGATTTGGAACAATAAATCTGCCCTTGTTTGGGAAGGAAAGGACAGCCAAGCAGGGAAACTTTGCAGTGAGCACAAGAAAAGCACGTTTCTGTAGCATGCCAGTGTTGTCCATCGTAAGTCATCTGAGCATGATCTACCCCTGTTAAGAAAAGGAGCATTTAGTTTTTTGGGCATATTTGATTGGTATTTTATATCCTTTGTTCCAATTTGTATAAGATGCTGAAATAGGTTGTTTTGCTTATATATACTAGGGGCAACCCAACCATAGTTAACCACAGTGAGACCTTTTAGGACATATGGATGTCAATATCAATCTCTGGACACCTTAAATACTAATATGCTCTGACAAAGATTTTTGTAGGATGACAGCTACAAAAACAATTGGGCCACAGTATATTTAGCTGGTGTTAACCTCAGCTGCCAATGAACAAGGATACAGAGATAACTGTGGTACCAAAAAAAATACAAGAAGGAGCACGAAGTCTGAGCATTCCTGTATCCTAGAAAAGAGCACAGAAGCAGACACTGTTGGCAATCCTACACTAATTGTGCCATGCTAATTTAATAGCTTACGTCATAAAGAATCCCACAGTTCCAAACAAACCAGACTGGAATAGAATTACATTCACTGATAGACTAGCTCAGTAAATACACATAAACACACACTTGAAGCCTTTTGTCGACATACTGGTGAGTTTCAGATCAGCGGCAAAATGCTTTGAGTGACTGAAATGTTTTCCAGATGGCTTCTAAATGTTAACTGTAAAATTCTAGGCATTATTGCAAGAAGCCTAGATGCCAACTTTGCCCCTGGAGTGAGCAAAGCTATTCCAATCTTAATAACATCAGCCATGGTGTCAGGGACTTTTTCTCTTGCACGCTTGTACATCAGATTTGAATCTTAAGCTTGCACAGGCTGCTTTCTAGAGTAAACGTGCTTTTCAGTGTTAAGATGCAACTTACCTATGTGCTCCCCACAAGTCTCACAATATTCTGCGTAAAGGGACTCAAAACAGCTGCAGCAGAAGGGGCGCCCATCCTTCATAATGTACCTCTGTCCCCCAAGGACGGTTTCACACTCCAGACAACAAAAGTGTTTCATGTGCCAATGGCGACCTTCTGCTTCTGTGCACTCGTCAGCAAAAATAATCTAGGAGGGGGAAAAACATCTTCAAACAAAGATTTCAAGCCACACACAATGCTAGCTACTCCATTAATCTAACTATTTTGGCAAGGTACGTTTCTTCAGTTTACTAATGAAGAAGTTAATGTGTAGAGAGTCATGTGACCCTTGGTTTCCAGCTGCTTATGGGAAATCATTGCTTCATTAAGTCCCTGCTTAACTGAGCAAGGAAAACCATTTTAATTTCCACATTTGCCTTAAGTATTGTCGGAATGCAAGATTACCTCATCACATGCGGAGCATCGTGGCTTGAGCAGTTCAGCATGATGCCTACCACAATGAATTTTCCCATCTTGGTAAAAATAGATTAAGTCGACAAGCAGCTCGTTGCATGTAAAGCAGACAAAACAGGAAGGATGCCAGCACACTCCGGGCCCAGCTCTTGATGCAAATACAGCAACTTCACTTCCATTTATCTTTGTACCACACTGGAAATAAAAACAGGGAAGTTCAAAATATGTCTTTGCAGTATGAAAATTGATACATCACAATTCTCTAGACTAATCTTCATTGTTCCCTTTTCTGTATCTCAATGTGCAATTCAGGTACCATGATTTATCAGTTTCTTCTAGTTAAATCAATCTTTGTAATTTTTAACCTACTTTTTAAGAAAGCCTGGTTTTATGTTTTATGTAGACTACTTCCCAGTCTAACAGAGTTGAGTACGCTTTCATACAGTGTGTATTTTTCAAACTTTTAAAGCCAGGTTGGACAACATGTGGTCCTCCAGAAGTTTTGGCCTACAACTCCCATGATCCCTTACCATTGGCTATACTGGTTAGGACTGATGGGAGTTGTAGACCAAAACATCTGGAGGGCCACAAGTTGCCCATCCTCACTTTAACCTTGTTTGTTAGCAGTTTTACATATACAACAGTTAAATGTCAAAAGTTTCAGTGTTGAATTTCCTTTGGGTAATAAGACTATTACCTGTTCACAAAGTGTATGCAGTACTGTTCTAGGGAGTATTCTGACTGTGCCTCGTCCCAGTGCCTCCTTCTTCCGTTGTGAGCTAAATATCTGTAGTTCCTTCTTCTCCTCTTCACTTAAAGATTGGCAGTATCTCACCTTCAGCAAAAGAAGCAGATATCAACTGCAACATCTAAGCTAGTTGTGTATGAAAGAAATAATGCATTTTAAAAACAAAACAAGGCACACCATCTTCCTCCCTAGGAGTAAATCCAGTATCATGCAAGCAGATGTTTGTTAGTGCTACAGATTCTTTAGTGCTACAGATTCTTTCCATTCCCCTGCAGCCCTCTAAGTTGCCTGACTCTGTGTTCCAGAGGACTTCCATAGTGCTAATTTTGTAGGTGTACAGAGAGGCCCTCCAGTCTTGGATCTGTTGACAGAACTGTTTCCATCAATCGAGTAACACTGCTGATTATCATTCCTTGATTCAATGGGAGCAACGTTTCTATGACACTTCTCGCTTGCAATAAACCTGACACGATGTACACCAGAAGACAAGAATATGAGAACCACACAGTGGTAATTTAACATATAATCTACTTATGAGATTATTTAATATCACACAGCATAGGGAAGAAAAGGAAGGGAGTTCCTGCGGATTATACTCTGTTAGCCAAACAGCTATAGGGGGCAGTGCTCATCTCCATTTCAAAGGCCATGAGCCAGTGTTGTCCGAAGACATTCCTGTGGTCATGTGGCCAGCATGACATCACACAGTGCTGTTTCCTTCCCACCAAAGTAGTACCAATTTATCTACTTGCATTACATGCTTTTGAATTGCTCAGTTGGCAAGAGCTAGGGACAAGGCAGTGGGGGTCCACAGCATCACGCGACATAGAAGTATTATTAATAAACAAATAAATAACATTGGAGACTGGTTCCAAGTCAGCTCATGGCTGGGGGAGTTAAAGATATTTACAGTAAACCCCTAAAATGCATCCATCTTGAGGTCTAATAAAAGGGATTGGTGGAATCATTTCACAGGGTGGGTACCACTGTAAAAAGAGGCCTGTCACCACCAACTAAAATCTGTAGGCCACAGCAGGGACAGCAAGGCCTCTCTGGCAGATCATGGAGGCCTGGTATGGTAGGAGACTTTGCTGGAAGTAATCTGGTCCTAGTTATGTCCACAAGGACTCCCAGTGTAAACCTAGCTCAGTAGCAGACTTCCAGCCAGTGGTGATACAGGAGTAATGTGTGTGCAGTAAGACACTAGCTACGGCATTCTGCACCAGCTGCAGCTCCTGAACCAGCCCTAAGGGCAGCCCCACATGGAGTCCATTATAGCACGGTTTTCAACCTTGCCACAGCTGGGGACTGGTGGAAACAGGAAAACCACCTTGGGAACCACTGAGGCAGAACCAAGAAGCACCATACACACAATACATTATTAATACAGGCAGCAAACAAATGAAAATTCTCCAAAACAGCCAGAAACCAAGCAACAAAAAATGCCAACAAAAGAACAAAATACCATAATCAGCATGGTGTAGTTTCCAGTCAGCTCCCACCAAGTCATCACCCCCCGTGAATGTGATGCCAACCAAGGAAGAGGTGGTGGAGCACAGCCAGTCCCCACACCAGTCTGTGGAGAATTGAGATGCAGTCTCCCATGGACACCAGTCCACAGACCGGTGGTTGAAAACCACTGCATTATAGTAATCCAATGGTCAGGTTAATCCTGTCCAGGCATGGGTGCAGCTGGTGCACCAGCCTCAGTTGGTAGTTGTTCCTGGCAGAGGAGTCCCTTGGGTCTCTAATGATAGTCAAGAATCCAAGAAAAGCTTCAAACTGCAAAGCTGCCCCTCGGGGGCAACACAACACAACCCTACCCAGAACCCAGAATTAACTAAATTCCCAGACCGAGAAACCACTCACTCATAATTTCCCCATCTTGCTGGGATCCAGTATCAGCTTACTGGCCATCAATGTGATCATTGGGTGCTCAGATTTCCCCATCCTTTACTTCTCAGCCCTTACACTAGCACATATTTGGTGAATTTTTTAAGAACTTACTGATAATGAATGACACAATGGTATAATACTCGGGTGCTGAAAAAACTACAACTCTTAATTTTTTGAGGTTCCAAACTTTCTTCTTTTAAAGAACAGTGGCAAATGAGAAAGGGTAGAGATTAAAAGGGGACAAGACAGGTTCTGCTGCAAAGCAGACTGGGAAACATGCTGTGGCTGGAGATTGAGGGGGAAGGAGGAAGCAAACAACCTACTGTCTGTTGGGTATACTCTGAGTTGATCAGCAAACATCCAACCCAACATGGCTTATCTGCCAGGTGGCTTGGTGCAACATGCAACCACGCCCGTTTCTTTTGGAATTTATAAACTGCAGGGATTTATTTTTAAAAGTTACAATGTGTTTTAGGATTAATTCAGTGTGATTTAAGCAGAGTTCCTTTCAGGTCTCTTGAAAATACATTAGCATAGTATAGAACAGTGGAGAACAGAAACAGAACAGATTGTCTCACAGTTTAAAGCCTGCTTGAATGTACTGCACCATTCCAATAACGTTAAAGCCTACGTTCTCAACCTGGCATCCTCCACTTGTGTTGGACTACAATTTCCATTATCCCCAGTCCACAGGGCCAGTATTGTCCTACTATGCCACAGGCGATTAACACCATAGACTCAACATGAGTAACATTCAGAGTTGCCAGACAGCGCAAGACACAAATGCTGATGGAGCTTCTGCCCTGGGCCTCCCTTCAGAGAGGGGGTGGGCTACCCAAGGCCCTTGACAAAAGCCCTCTGCAGAGCCTGCAACAAGAATCTCTTTCCCCTGGCAGCCTGCTGGGTGGGGATGGAGGCATTAGGGGTGGCAAAAGAGGGAAAAGAGAAGGGATGGAACCATCCATTCAGGCACTGGTCCCCAAGGAATGCAGCCCTTCAACGTTGAAAACTTAAGGCAGAAGAAACCAGACAGTGTTTGGAGGTGTCCACAGTTTGAAAAAAATGCCTAAGACAATTTAAATGCCTCGAAGACAATACATGCTTTTGTCTGATGACTAGGAGAAAACAGAGCTGCCGCAGGACACGCCTCCCCTGGTGGGTCAATTCCATACATAAGGTGTCATGGCAGAAAAAGCATCCTCTGATGTCACCTCCAGCAGAGGGGACACCTTTGGGGAATTATTGCGCTCTTTCTGGAAATCCCGGTCTGTCTAGATGCACAGTCATTCCCTCTGCCAAGACATTGCAGGACAAGAAATGCTTGTCTGTATCTACCTCATTATCATGGGGTGGTAGCTGGTAAAGAAGCTGCTTAATTCGGTGTTTCTCCCCAGGGCTGTTCACATAAGGAACCTTCTCTTCGGACAGACAAGCAAAGTACAGCTGTACCTGGATTGGAGAAAGACACATAAATCACTGAGGTCCCCATGTGGAAGAATTCTTCTCTCCTGCCTTATCTTAGATTGTGTTTACAAAGCATAGGAGGATTTTCTACTTTAGATCTTTGGCAGAAGTTGCATTCTTCTTGCTAAGAGGCTCAAATGAGTTGACTCAGCAAAAGCACATTGCCTGAGATAGCTAGCACCCAGCTGTTGAATTGCTGTCCTGGAATGCAATTTGCAGCCACAATTAGGGGTGTCATAAATTATGCGCATCCAATTTCCACCCCCTTCAGGGATAGTCAGCTAGTCTATTAAAATTCCACATCTTCTCTCTGCGTTTTATCACACAATGTGTGAAGTTGTCTAGAAAACAACTGTTACAGCAACAGGTCTGATTTGCTCTCTGAATTGCATAAACTAAAGGGGAAATAATTGTATAATCTCTGGCTGATTAAGCTCATTCTTTCCACGTGAATGTTAGTTGGAACCTTTGGATTGATGGGTACAACCATATTCCTTGCCTGGGGCCAGTGAAAAGTCAGTAAGAACTGGTAGTTTTGAATGGCATTCAAAAAGAAATTATACTTCACTGGGAAACATGCCTTTTAGGGACAGTCTGTTATTGTTGTTCAAGTTTTGACAGGATTAAAAACAGGACTTTATTTGTAAAGAAACTGACAAATCTTCATAAAAAACAAACTTCTTTGTACCAGCAGGTGATTTATTATTTTCTGGTTCCAGCTTGCTTCAAGGATTGCAGTAAGGTATTGGCAAAATGGTGCTTTAATTATAATAAGGTAGGCGCTTATTGAATTTAAACATATTGAAGGAGCACCTTGAGATAGAAAACAGCAACTTCATAGAATGATTGAAAAGAAAAATAGAAAATGTTCACAAAATGCCTAAGCTAAATTAGACAACAGACGTTCATATAAAATCACACAAACACATTCATGAATATTTGTAAATGATTTTATGAACAATACTGCCAATAATCTTGAATCATATTTTTCATATTTGAAATTGTTTTTAAACCACCTTCAAAAGACATGCCCATAGGTACTACTGCACCTGGGAAATTATATTTTCTATTGAGATAGATGTACAGATTAACTTGAGCTACATCATTAGTATAATATATAGGAGTGCCAGGTCTATCGATGATTTTTATAAAAGTGTGTCAAAATAGTATTAACACATAATATACTTGCCTAAATGGGAAAAATGATCTTACGTTTCTGTTTTTAGGCCCAATGACTACATATGGTCACAAAAGAACTCAATAAATCAAACCCGTTAATTCCCAACCAGTAAGTTTACATGTTGGATCCAAAAAATAAAGTCAGGATAACAGAGAGACAGAACTACTATCTATCTATCTATCTATCTATCTATCTATCTATCTATCTATTTATTTAATAAAACCACAAACAATATTCCCAAATGAGAATGACTTGCTTTTGATAAACTTGAAAGATATGCTAATTATATGCCTTTACCTGTTCTGGTCTAAGACCTGGAGGAACCCAGGCATATTCTTCTAAGGCGCATCCAGAGTCATCATCAGATGTTGAGCTTCTCTGGAAGCCAAGAGTAAGATTGCCAGCTTTTGGCTCCATTGCCAAAGGACACACGTCCGTGCGGTAGTGTCAGGATACTCAGCTGCAGTTCATTAATTAAGGGCTCTAAAAAAGAGGTTCAAAAGTCAAATGTTACAATATGTAGCATGACCACTGTTTTCAAAGGAAAGAGGTATCCTATGCTCTCCGGTGTGTTTATATTTCTATCATTGGCAAGGGTGCCTCCTTGAAAACAGTTCAAAGGCGTGAAAAGCAGACAGACACTTGACTTTTTCCACATCCTATCTCTTTTCATTTGCAGCCTAGAACACACAAAAGTGTACGTGCAAAGCATCAGTATAATGGGAAAAAACAGACTTCCATCTTCTATGTTAGTATAAATACAACACACCCAAACAGGGGTGAAAATCGTCATCATCGTCATCATCGCAGAAGGTATGCCTTCTGTGAGCAAAAAGTTACATCATAAATTTGATGTTGGCCAGATTCAAGGCACTTGGCTTGCTCAGCCATAAGGCTGCATCCAGCGGTGTCCTTTTGCCAGGGAATGAATGGATTAAATTTCTCCTCTGTTCTGCAGTCACCTCTGTCACTCCCAGATCTCAAAGGCTGGAGGACCTTCTACAGCTGATTCAGAGGGCATATGGCGGTGTAGTGGGGGAAAGAGGAATCCTTGTTGCACAAGCAGATCTGCTGCATTTAAACCATAATGCAAGAAGCCATGATATACACTGGGGACTACACAGTCCCCCTCACCTCTCCCTTAATGATGTAAACATGACTGAAAAATGTAGACATTATGCAACCACAGGTAGTGAACTGATTAGGAATATACCGTTTCCCATTTCAGACATAACAGGAAACTCTAGCTTAAACTAGCCAGGGTCTCCATCAAGAGAGGCAACAAGGGTGGTTTCTGGGCTCATTCCATTTCCAGGGTTTGGTTCAACTAAAGTTTAGCTCATCCTTATGCTCCTTAAAACATATGAATAAACTTCCCTGTGAAGGCCCAAAATATTTCTCCCTATGAACTAAAGATACTGATGAATGAAAAAAAATCTTATTGTAGAAATTGTTATAAATCATAATATTAAGTGCTTGCACACACCAATTTCCATCGATTTACCAATAAGTTTATCATAGCTACATAAGGTGTGGTATCTAAAACTACACAATCTGAAAAGCACTAACGAGAGAGAGAGAGAGAGACTGACTCTGAAGTCCCATGTCCCACATAGGGAATCTCCCAGATAAGGCTAAGCTAGAAGCCTTTTTCCTTGATATGCTAGCTGGCCATGTATCCCGACAGGGGGTAGATCCAGGGACTGCCTTCAGTGCGCAAGAGGGTTTTGCTCAAGCAAGGGTCTCCACTTGACTATTGGAGATCATCATTGCTGTGTTCCATTCATTCCATTCAGCAGGGTCTCCTAGCTCTTTATATGTGCAACACTTTCAGGGGCCACTTTCAGGTGGGGAAGTCCCCTTCCATCAGTACAGTAGAGCAGAACTCTGGATCCAACTCGAAGAATTTAACATACAGAAGCATTCAAACATGCTATCTCACACCAGCATTTTCAGCCTGGAAATTCTGCACAGCAATGCCAAGTAGCATAGCCTTGGTAGTACCACCATAACCACATTCATGCTATGATCCCAAGGCAATTTTCAGATCACAACAAACACACAGGGTTTTTCATGCTGAAGCCCATTTCCCATGAAAAAAGACTGGACTCTGGAGTTAACTGATGCTAAAACGGTGTGTCTTACTAATAACTATGGTGAATAACTATTGTTCTTTAATAGTCATGCCCGATTTCAAATACCACCACAATCATTGTGAATCTTTCCAGGAACTACTTCTAAAGTGGTTATCAATATGGAACCAGGGTCATCACTTCACAGCTGATGCCTTCTGCAAGCTAAACTTCTAGTACAGAGGGTCATTTGTAAGAATAATCTTGAAGTTTGCCTCAATTTGAATTTGGTTTGACCCTATTAAACTAATCACTGCATGTTTTCCAAAATGAATTGCACATTTTGGACTGGAGTCCAGGTCAAAACTAATAGCAGATTCAATAGGTTTGCCAAGACTAAATGTGGTCCATGTGTGTGCTACAAATATCCCCACATTGTTCTCGCACTTCCACCCCTGCTTTCCTTTTTGTTTTCTTGAAGCAACTTCCTGCCCTTTCTGTGCAATCTGATCTCTGTTTGCACTAGATGGATTTTTTTTTTTTTTTGCATTTGAACAGAATATTTCCTTTGATTTGTCCAGCCGTCTCTGATGTCTTGGTGACTGTCTCTATATATCCCTTCTCTTTTAGTACTTTTCTTTCGGGGAAAAGAGACCACATATGGGTGATGTATTTTTACAATAAGTTTAAATCAGCTGGTAACACAACATGATTTACAAATTAACCTTAAACCAGACAGTTACTTTTGAGAGCCCCTTCTTCAGGTGATGCCATTAAGACACATGGCAATTCCAGCTTCCCCTCACATGGTGCCCTCAGGAATTATGGGGGCTGTGGTCCAAAATATTGTAGGGTACCACACTGGGCCAGCCTGGCTTACCAACTGGGCTGCCTTGCCTTTGGAATGCTTTTTAGAAGCACCGGGCAAACATGTCTTATCTTCCCCAACCTTTCCTATTGCTACTGGTTTGCTGGCTACAGCTGATAGGCCCAAACATCTGGAGAGCGTGTTTTACACTCCAATTAGGTGATTTTACAGACATGTTTAACTGTTGCTTTCTAATTTTACTGCACTTATTCATGGTGCAGTTAGGTGCCCTGGAAACAGCAATATTGAGGTGAAGAATCAATTTTTAAATAAATAAAAATAAATTACAGCAAATGTCTCCCAGAACGTATCCTCCTCTGTAGTGAACAACAGCAGATGGACAGTCACTTCAAATGTACTTGTGCCAATGCCTGCCTAAACGGAAAACCACTGAGTTCTATAGGGCTTGCCCCTAGAGTGTGTATAATAAGTGTAGGAAGTGTAGAATAAGTGTAGAGTGCATGTAAGTGTATAATAAGTGTTATACTTATAATAAGTATAAGGGTGGCCCTCCAGATATTTTGACCTACACTTCCCATCATGCCCATCCATTGTTTACTTTGACTAGAGCAAATGGGAGTTGAAAGTCAAGGCATCTGGAAGGCCACAAGTTGCCTACCCTGGTGTATAGGTTTGCAGCTTAAATTACTTTCAACAACTTTTATATAAATGTATACATTCTAAACACGATTCAACAGATCTACTTTTTGGATGACTAGACCCAGCACTCTCTTCTGAGGATAGGTAGTATTATTATTACATATGTTATCCAGTGGTTTATGTTAGTTTAAATAAAACAAACATATAAAGAACATCTTCCCATTCTATCTATAGACTTTAGGATATTGACCTGACTGAACGCATGTGTTATGTCTGCATAAATACTGCCTAATTAGTAAAGTACAAAAAGAGAATCCTTTCACTGATGAATGAACAATTAACCATATAATTGGGTGAAAGAGTAACATGATTAGAAAGTATAGCTACACACCACTTTATTTCAATTACTGCATTTCTATACTATGCAGTAACAGAAGCTCTCTAGTGGTTTACCAAGTGTAAATGTCACCTATTTTCACTTCCTTCTGTCTTTAGAAGTCTTGCACCAATGCTACAGGGCACCCAGTTCTAAAAGAAAAATGTGTCCTTGTTCTCTGTCACAGTTGAAGCCATGTGTGAAAGTAGCCCTTGTATTAGGATTTCCAGCTCACTGAGTATGCTTTGTGGTCACCTCTGACCAGATCGAAGAGGTCACAATTCATAAGGCCAGTTGCACAAACATCCTTGCTTTTCTCCTGCTGTATAACTCTGTCCTGCAGGGCAAATTGTTTAACAACTTTTTGTTAAACTGCTTGTTAACAAGGCTGTGGGGAATACAAGATGCATATCACACATCTCCTTCACAAAGCCCTGCATCTATAACCGAAAGGGTCAAGACTTGAGGTTAAAAAGCAGGTGGCAGGGTTACCACCCCAGTGTTCATGATAATTCAGTCTCAAGGGGGCAGGGAGCTATGGCATGTCATGCCAAATCTCAAGATTAGGATTATTAGTACATTTCAACAAGTGCATGATGGTGGGGAAAGTTTTATTCAATTCTACATTGAAACCATTCACACTTTACTAACATGAGGAAAGGAAAGGAAAGGAAAGGAAAGGAAAGGAAAGGAAAGGAAAGGAAAATAGTGAAAAGTTCCTACTAGTAATTAAAGTGCAACCATAAGTTATTTTATAATGTACTATCTACACTAAAGTTTGTAGTATTCTTGAGATATTTTAAAGTGCTATTTTACCATGTCAGATCATTGGCATTACATGTTAATTAGGATCATTTATCTGCATATTCTCTTCTCCTCTCACACATGCATGTACACACACATGCACACAAGGTATGCTGTGGGTCCAGGAAAATAAAGCTTGCCCAAACACTTCAGAAGAAAGAGCAATATCCCCAAGACATCATTGTCCCTGGGATTTGCCAAGATTAAGCCAGCACCAACATTGTAAAGATTCCCATTCAAATATGAGCTTTCCCTGTCTTTTTAAGTAACCACCATGGGAATCAGCAGACAGGATTTACTTTAGTGTAACCTGGTGACTCCTGAACACAGCACTTCTTTGTTAAAAACTTGCCACATTGGCTTGGAAAGCCATTTACAAAGACAACTTTTCACCAAAGTGAAAAAAGAGTCAATCGATTGTGTGTGTGTGTGTGTGTGTGTGTGTGTGTGTGTGCGCGCATGTGCATGCAGACACACAATTTCTTGAAACAGCCCACTATAACAGGGAGAATATTTGATCATGCTACATATTCAAATTTCGGATATAGGGTTAGTAGCAAATCCCTTCCATTCCTACACACCTGCTCACCCACCTATTTCCTCTCCTTCCAAACAGATGTATTTCAGTGTGATTTCAGTGAAATGTACCATAAAGTAAGGGTATAGTTTTTTAGTTCAATTGAACTTGTGCCATATGTGAAAGATTTCTTAAGGGCATCATCTCTAGGCAATTCTATACAAAACCCACTGAGATCTAGTTTGA